GACAGGGTCTCCCTGTAGCCCCAGCTGTCCTGGAACTCACTATGTAGACCAGGCTGGCCTTGAAATCACAGAGATCTGCCTGCCTATGCCTCCCAAGTGCTGGGATTAAAGGCGTGCATGGCCATGCCCAGCTATTTTATGTATTATTTTTATTTTATGTATATGAGTTTATTGCCTGCATGTGTGTAAGTGCATCCATGTCATGCAATGCCTGCAGAGGTCAGAAGAGTTTGGATCCCCTGGAACTAGAGGTAAGGACAGTTGTTAGCCGCGAGGTGGGTGCTGGGAATCGAACCTGGGTCCTCTTCAAGAGCAGCCAGTGCTCTAACCACTGGGCCACCTCTGCAGTCCCAGCTCCACGTTTTGTTTGATGCTTGGAATCCTTCTTTTGTTCTTTGGTGTCCTTGGCTACTCAAGGTTAGAGGGTGTTTATGTGGCATAGCTACAACATTCTGGGTCAAACGTGCAGCTCCATGCATGGAATAAGATCCAATTTCAGAATCGGGAGCTATGAGGGGTAGGGGCCATTGTCCCACGCAGCCATAGCTCCAAGGGCATGGCATGAGACAGGACGTTTCCACTCACAGGTGCTCAGGGACTGGGGATGTGGCTTGGTGGTAGGGTGCTTGTCTAGCTTCTACAGAGCCCAGGGTTTGGTCCCCACCTCTGTACACATAAGAAGTGTCCTTAGGGTCTGGAGAGATGGCTCAGTGGTTAAGAACACTGGTTGTTCTTGCAGAAGACCCGGGTTCGAATCCCAGCACCCACATGGCAGCTAACAACTGTCTGTAACTCCAGTTCCAGGGGATCCGACAGCCTCTTCTGTCCTCCACGGGCATTGCATGACATGGGTGCACACACTTACATGCAGGCAATACATGTATACACATCAAAAAAAAATTTAAAAAGAAGTGTCCTTAGAGTTGAAAGGCAACTGAACCACAAGCATGCTTCAGTTCTAGAATCTAACAGCGGTCCCCTACTGATAAACCCTCTCTCTCTCTCTCTCTCTCTCTCTCTCTCTCCCTCCCTCCCTCCCTCCCTCCCTCGGTCTGTTCAAGGATTTAAACCCAGAATCTCATGCATGCTGTGTAACTACTCCACCCTCAGCCCAC